CAGATCTACTCATTTTATGTGGCCACCCATTACCTCTCATCCCTAAAGGCTTTCTCTTTTATTTTACTATGAGGGGAAAATGCTTCTTTGACATTCATTAATAAGCATTTTCAGTATGGTTAAAATGATCAAACAAAAATAAAACACCCCAGATCACATAAACACACACTCCAGGAGAATTTATTAGAATGAAAGTTCAAGGCAGAACCACCTCACACAAACAGCATTTCGCTGCACTTATTTCTCCTACACGAAATCTTGGCATTGAGCTGACATTCCAGTGCCTGTCCCCCGACCCTGACACCGGGAGAGGAGAGAGGCCAGGGCAGAGCAACACGTGGAGGCAGAGAGAGGGGTTTGCTCTCCTGGCTGGTGTGGATGAGGACAGGCTGCTTAGAGTCCTCCCAGCTTCTTCTCCCTTTGCAATTCCAGCTTGGGGATTTATTTGTGCTGAAGGATGCACGTGGGGACCCACATGTGTGTGTTAACAGAGCCAAAGAAACAAAAGCACAGAGCTACATCTGCACACAGGATCAGCCTGACAAAGCAGGCACAGACTCTCACACAGCAGCAGCCAAACTCTCCACTGGGTTACATCCACTGAACCCCTCCCAGGGCCAGGGGTACAGCCAGGACAGCACCTGTGGCACAGGGGCAGTGCTGAAAAAACCTTCTTCATGTCAGCCTTGTGCTCAGCAGCCACAGCTCCTGCCCAGCTGCACTGACCCCCTCAAGTGCTGGCACAGATTTTATATCAGTGCACAATATGTGATATGTGTGAATCCCCCATTTCCCAGAGACATCCTGCTCTGAGACCCTCCACTTCTAACTTGTTTCCAGGGACAAAAACCAGGCATGGGGGTTTTGGAGGGGGGAAGAGCCAAATTCCTAGCTGAGCTCTGGAGCGAGCTTCCTCCCTAAATATCATTCTGGCTTCACTATAACGCCTCCCACCACAAGAGTCTGGCTGCAAAGAATGCTGTCTCTCCAAAGCCCAAGAGCTTTGCCCAGGATTTTTCCAATTGTATCTGTCATCCTGGATGATTGGTGAAATTGCTTGAGCCTTCAAGACACCGCAGGGCTGCAAGAAAAGTCAGGACACTGGCTGAACTCGGCAGGGAGGTGAACAGATTTAGAGCAACTCTACCACAGACATGCATCAGCATCTGGTGCCTGGAGTGTGGGATATGAGCTGTGCCAATTTTACCTATCTTGACTTTCCATTTCAGACAGCTTTCAGTGACAGCAGAACCCAGAGGTGACAAACATCTGCATCCCAGCAGCTCTGGCTCCTTTACCTGAGCAATCAGAGAGGCTGTGGAGATTCCTAGGCAGGCACTCTGCTTCCTATTCTGGGTTGGCAATGTTCTTTCGTTTCAGGCAAAACAAAAATGTATTTTAAACTCTTTCCCCAGTTCCACAAATAATTCTATTTGAAAGAAAGCAAATTGTTCTTTATTTATCGCTACTTCAATTTTAAGAAAAAGAAAGTATAAAAGACAAAAATCAGCCAAAAAACCCCAAAAGGCATTTTCAGAATAAAGCAATGACAAAATACACAGCATGTTGGTTTCACTCACCTTAGTTTTTGCTACAGTTATTAAAGTGAATTTTTTCCCAATGGCTTATTGACTGCAAGTTTGATTAATCTCTTGAATTCCAACACCCATGGACTCAATTTTGCAATGTCAATGGGAATACTTACAAACTACACACTCTACAGAATCAATGAACTGGTAGGTTCCCGTTATCTATTTCCCAGCCCCAGCTGCACTCACACACACTGGCTCCTGCAGGTGGCCAGCAGCATTTCCAGCAGGAGAAAGCTCCATCTCTCTACTTACAATCAGACTTCACAATCGAAACCACACATATTATTTAAATAACCATTCAAAGAATGCCATGGAGAAGAGAAAGAAAACAAACTCCAAACCACTGGAGAATGACACCTATGCTTGTGTTTAATATGAAAACACGAGTTTTATAACATGGAGAGCCAGCTCCTGCCAGCACTGGTGGCACCCTGGAGCTCCTGTTCATGAGCCTGCCAGATGTTGGAGGTGCCATATCTCACTCCTTGGGGCTTTCTCCCCGAAGCACAGCCACAAAAGCACTGTTTCGACCATGGCTTATCATCAACAAGCACATTCATCACCCATTTTAAGCAAAGAGCAGCAGCAAAGATCATTATCAGCTCAGGTCTGCCCATTCCTGAGTGAGCAATCTCTGTTTCTGTCCTCATCAAACACCCCTGGGGCTCTCCAGCCTCAAAGCTCAGGTGGTCCCTGACTTATCTCACTTTCGATTTACCCAAACCATCAAGAGCAGCACTAAAATTGCTAAAAGCCCCACAAAGTTTACATTCAATAGCAAAAACATCTCTGTGAGCATGAAAAGTAAGAGATGGAATGGTCATCAGTGTGACAGCAAAAACCAGACCACAAGGTTTTGAGAATGCAATTAGCTGGAAGAATATCCTGATCCATCAGGAACCACTCTGGCAAGTGGTAACTTAGGTGACTTTCTGTAGCTGCCCTGTTTTTTTCTGAAGGCTGGCATGAGCACAGGAACCCCAGAAAGCTGCTTGTAATGCCTGTCCCTTCGCAGGGAACATTATGAAGCCGTCAGTTTAAATTTGGAAAAAGGGTGGGTTTTTCACTTTATTGATGCACTCTTCTAACATAGGATTTTTTGAAAATCTACATCAAACAAGGAAAAACAAATGCTGAGAGGGCAGATTTAGGGCAATTTATCAAGGTCTGGGAAATAGCTTCCAGATGGATGGAGCTGTTTGGTGCTGGCTGGTGAGAAGGAAGCAAGGTATTGTTATTGAATTAACATGAATCTCTGGTGGAGAACTGCGTGGTAGATAGAGTGCTCCTTTCATATGGTTTGCATTTGGACCTGTCATATTTCATTTTTATTCAAAAACCTGTGGTAAAGACTCACAGTTCTTTTTTTGCTTATTAAATTTCCACCAATTCTCCCTGAACTGTTACCCAGTATTTTTAAACCCTGCTGCAAGTGCCATGCCTGGTCTGTTTGCTCTTTGCCACGCTTGGCTGGCAGCTTGGTGCTTACAAGCTCACAGTGGTTTTGGGTTTTGCATTCACACAGATGTCACCTGAGAAACTGTGTCAGAGAGGAGAAAAGCTGGATGCTCCTTGAGTTGTTTAAGCTGAGCCACATCAAGCATTTACCAAAACCCTTCCAAAGAAAACGATGCATCCTGAGGTTTAATGCACACTACAACATGCTGATAAGCTACAAGATTATTCTTGATATTTCTTTTTAATAAGTCTTCCCTTCATAAACATGTCTTCTAACAGTATAAATGCATCTATGTGGCTTTGTGAATAAAGGATACTGTGAAAAACCAAAAGAACAACCAGCAAACAAAAATCTAAAGGCCAAAAAAAAAAAAAAAAAGGTCATAACACATTTTTACTTAGAATTACCTGGATACCTGCTCCATGATACATGTCTTACAGATTGTAAGGTATATGCAAGGACTTATGTGTTCTCTTGCTAGTTCTGAAATTATTTACTTTTCAAGTTCCCACCTGAAGAATTCAACATAATTTATGTTACAAATCAAATTTAAATGACCATTTTCTTATTAACTTGAGGAGATAAACAGATTTTTATCAAGTAGTTTCAGGTAAACAGATTTTTGAAAATATGGTCTTTTAAACTGTAGGAAAGTTTGTGGTTGATATGCCAATGGGTAGAAAGATTTCGGATGACAGGAAATTTCCAATGCCTTTTTCAATTATTTAGGACTGTTATTATACTTGAGTACTAAGTGTAGGGGCATTGGGGTGAAATAGAAGAAAGAAGTTTTATATTTTCCCTTTCCCAATGTTTCACGATCTATCAATTACTCTGGGATGCATCCCAGGAAAACAGAGAAGGGAAATGGTGATATCATCAGAACCAATAAATTTCTAAATCCTACCTGAAATGTAACACACAGATACTTGTGCTTGCTTCCCACATGTCTGGTTTTGCCCTCCTTTTTCCCCCTATAATTCTTAATACTTTGTGTTTTATGAGCATCTGTTTCAACTGACCAAGACTGTAAGAAATATCCAAAGAGGTGAATAAAATCCCAACCTGGAGGATGCAGCCTGCTTTGGCCATAGCACCTGAAACCCCCCAGGCTGTGAGCAGATCATATGCCTCATTTATTACTTACACTTAATCCTTCAGCTACTGACTCCTGAGCTAGATTTCCAGCTACATCAGCTCTGAGACAGTGCCCTGCTGTCCTCAAGCTCTCACAGTGCAGTGTGAACTAGGGGAGTTATCCATCACTGCTGAAGAAACTGCTTTACTCAATGACACCTTTTCCCAATGTGTTATCAGGAAGGTGGCACTGCTCACAATGACTGGAATCCACAGGATTCCTCTGTGGACATTGGTGCTCTGAAATCAGAGACAGCTGATTTAGGGTTGTGTGTCTGATCAGGGATCACTCTTCTGCTCATCAGTCTGTGGAAGGTGGATGTAAACTACCAGGTATCAACATTCTGTCACCATGGACCAAACTGGCCCTTAATTCTCATCTGAACTGCCTTCCCTTTGGCTGGAAGCCTATGAAATTGTGATCTTGCTGCTGGCAGAAAACAAGAGACTAAAAGGATGATAAAACCAACTTGCCATTTTACATGGATATCTACATCACAGAAACAGAGAATGCCCATGGCTGGAAGTAACCTCAGGAGATTGAATAGCCCAACCACCCTGCTCACAACAGGGGAACCAGAGCAAGTTTCTCAGGACAATCTGGGTAGTCACAGCACAAAGCAAAGGCATTCTAACTGCACAGGATGATATTTGTGGCAGGGCACAGCTGAAGGCACACACAGCCTGCTTGAGCAAGGGAAATTTGGGAGCCCAGTGCCTGTAAAATTAACTTCTCACAGCACAACAATTAAAGAACCACAAGTGATGGGGAACAGTTTCTTGCTCCTCATGAAGCTCATTTGGAGTCATACCTTGAAACCAAAAGGGCAGGTGCACTGGTAAAGCTCCACGGGGTCACTGCTGCACGTCCCATTGTTCTTGCAGGGGCTGGAGAGGCAGGGGTTACACTTGGACACAACACTGAGATCCACTGGCTCTGGAGAGGCAAACACAGAGAACTGGATTGCAAAATCAACGCCTCCCATGCACACACAAGCCTCTTCCCCCAAGCACTGGCACAAATGCACATGCTGCAGGTGCACTGCACGACACCATGGGATTCCCAGGGATCAGAGAGGCTTTAAGTACTTAAATCAAGTGCTAGGCAAGTCTCAATGATGCTTATATTCTCCTGAAGATGCAAACATATGCTCTGAAAAAAGCATGTTGGGAACCTCCAGGGAGTGGGTTATATATATACATATAGCTTTCAGCAATTTTTCCTTTTCTCAGTTCTGGAAATCCTGCAACAGCAACCCCAGGGAACTGTAACCTGACATTTCTATGGCTGATAACAAGAATGAAAGTGCAGATGCAACAACATAAATAAAAAACACACGCAAGACAGATTTAGTTAGAGGCTTACAGGAATATTTAGGTGCAAAGTGCTCTACCGTCCTTAATTTTAACAGAGTTTGAAACTTATTTTCCTCTCTTTCTGCCCAGAAGAATGATCAACACTGAGCTATCTCAGCAAAGTGTAGTAAAGCCAAATATGCAAAGATGTAACTGTAAGCAGGTAAATACACATGGCCATATTTAAATAATCTAATAAACCTCATATTTGTAGCAGAAATCTTCCAGAGAAGCAGTGAAGTTTGTAGCTGAGCAGGAAAACAAACACAGACTAAAACAACACTAATTACATTTGGGGTCCCAAGTCAATCAATATTTTATGGTTGAGATTTTTCAGAAAGCTTTTTTAGGCAGTTATATTCACAGTTAAAACATGGCGATTTTTTAAATGGCTACATTTCAAATATTAAGAAGTATTAACTCATTGGCTTTTATATGTAAAAATGAAACCTAGCACTTTAAAGTGGCTTAAATTATATCAGGCAGTAAGGACCTTAAAATTATTTTATTTCATTTTCAACGAAATACATATTAAAATAATTTAAAATCGGTCCTGTAGTAATCAAAAGTGGGCACAGACTGTTACTGCATGATATATGGTAAGAAGGAGCAAATTGTGAAACATCTTGAAAGTGAAGAAAAGAAGCTTAAATTTGATGTTCAAGAGAATGTAGAGCTTCAGAGTTACCAGAACTAGGGATGGAAAAATCCCTTCCAGACAGGGATTTGCTTTGAATTGTCCTGCATGAGTTACAAACCTTCACTGTTTACTGTGAATGATTGCAGAGCACCAAGAGGGGTAAGAACATGGCAGAAATGGGGACTGAAGGGTCTCAGGTGACAGCACCTGGGCTGTGCCCTGGTCCTGTAGTGATGGTGATGCCATCAGGGACTGACTGGGGGTGCACAAGCAGTAATGAGGGAAAAATACACAGGAAGAAAAAATGCCAGAAATTAAATAAATAACTGCTGTCATCTTATTCTATCTTCATGTTTAGATCTAACTACATGCCATAATGTTTCTACCTTGGAGTTAGAACAGCAAGAGGAAATCACACCTGAATTCCTGGCACTGACAGGGGCTGGAATGTGACATATCTGAGTTACATTTGTCTTCATTGTAAAATAGACAAAGAATAAACAAGGGTGGCTCCTCTGAGAGCTCATGAGACAGGCAGCAGTGTTGCTCTTTTAGATTTAGAGGCTAGTAAGCCAGAATTTGTTCTACTATTTATTTCATAATACGTGCACATTTTCCATTTATTTCTACGGCATAGATCAAAGCTAATCAATGTAGGAGCTAATAAGAACAGTGTTAGTTCCTAGCAGTTAAGTAGTTCATTACTTTGCCCTTGTGGATTTGATTTATAAATCCATATAGCAAAATGCCCTCAGCCCAGCACATTCCTTTCCTCTACTGCATAGCTGGGAGGGCAAGTTAATAAAAAGCAGAGCTGAGTTTGCATGACTTGCACATAACACACTTTTATTTCCTTGGCTCTGCTGAGACATAACCTCCTGCTCAGGCACAGGCTAAAAACATATTTTTAACAAAAATAAGTTAAACTTATTTTAATTTTTTTTTTCTACTGTAGAAGTTCCTGGAGGTCACAGAGGACATCTGAGCATGACCTTCACACAGCAGCTCAAGGTACCCAGCCCAGCACAGGTCAACTCCTGGTGCTGGGACTCAGGGTTCTGGGGGCTCAGCGCTCCCTGAAATGGGAATGGGGTGCACTGAGACTGCCAAGTCATGCACTGGTTTTCAAAATATTTGTATTTTCATGAGCAAAGGTGACTTTTTCTAGGGCCTGGAGCTTGTTGAACTTTACTGCTACTTGTCCAGACCATCAACTATTTCTGCTTGTGTGAAGATCAGCTCCAGGTCAACACATTTTTTCTCATTTTCTTTTCAGATAAATCAAGCTATGGAGACTTTTTGGATATTAGAAAGAACATGAGCTTTCTAGTGGACCAATCTAATATTTACATAGAAGCATACAACTACATCTAATATCCTGGATCACAGATTTACTGATCTCTTGCCTAAGAGCTGCTTGTTCAGTTTATAGAGAAAATGAGCGTAACTCTTGGTGTATCACAGGTTCAGAATGAAGAAGACATCCAGCTTCTCCTTCTGGTTCAATATTCAGATCTGGTTTAATATACCAAATCAATTCTTTTCTTTGCTTCAGTTCATGGTGACAAGTGCATTATTTGGTACATTTTTTAGTACTTCTTATATTTGTACTTCACATTTGAGAGACTATTGCAAAGTCTGTGGTTTGATAATTACGGTCAGAGTTCTGATAGTTTTGAGACTGACATTTCAAAGTAATTAAATTATAAGGTTACACTTATTAAAGATATATTTGAAAGGACATAAAATTCAGCTCAGCTTTGGGAACCTGTGTTTTAAACTCACCCCAACACCATCATTTGTTTGTTCAGCAGTTTAATTCCAGCACCTATAAAATCACTCTGCCAGGCAGTGCTGTAAATGGGCATGGCACTCTGAGAGACATAAAAACAGGCTTTATGCCCTCATTTCCATTTCTAAGAGAGGCTACTGATCCATCTTTTCCACTATAAATACAGTTCCATCTTCAAGTACTTGCTGGTAAGCTAAACAAACCTCTGAAACTCTTTTCTTACAAGAACATACAGATATGTCTTCATCTCCACCACTCACTAATGAGCTACTTACTTAATCCACAAAAATGGATCATCTGTCTGAGTGCTCTTTAAAGCAGCACCCCAAATTGTTCAGAGCTGGACCTCAACCCTCTCCTGAATGAATGCACACTGAATTCAGACATAGCATGTTTGCCATAATCTGCAGTTTCTGAATCACCACTGATGGCAACAGTTTGCAGATGAAAATGCACTTTTGGTAAATATTTGCTTTCTAGAAGAATTCTCAGTTTCTTGGTTTTCAAGGAAATGTACATAATAACTACAGTGCTCTATGTTTTTATGATACCTCTTATTTTCCCAGTTTTTTGGGGGTAAGTCACAGGCCAAAACTAATTATTTGTTCCAATAAGTTCTAACAACACCCTATATGCTAACGTGCCATTACAGAACCTGGTGTGAGTATCAGGAACACTCTGCTCTGAGGCTCCCTGCTTTTCCTGCCAGTGGAGCAGTTCACTGCCCTTTGGGGAAGAACACAAGAAAACACAACTTGGAAGGAACGTGACGTTTTGGAAAACAAAACCCAACCCAAATTTCCCCACTTGGTGCAAAACCAAGGGTATAGAAGTGAAGGCCTGTGGGCAGGAGAGGGCAGAGGGTGCCAGCTGGCTCCTACCTTTGCACTGGAAGTGGTGGGTGGGCGTGGTGAGCAGCAGCCTGTCCACCATGGCTTCGGGGCCACGGCAGCGGGCGATCCCGGGCTCCTTGTAGCCCGCCTTGACCCACTCGGAGAGCCAGCGCAGGTGGCAGTCACAGTGCAGGGGGTTGGTGCCCAGGGCCCTCGAGGTGCAAAACAATGAGCACAGGTTATTTGGAGAAGATAACAAACGGCTCTGATCTCACCGAGGCACAGTTTATTCTGCATTTCTACAGGGATGCTTTGTTTCCCAACGTGGCAAAGATCTGATGAGTATTCAGGAAGGATTTTTCATTTATCTCCTGCTCTTCTCTTTTCTTCCCATCATTTGTTAGGGAAGATGTATACATACCTAAGAAGATACCCCTTCTTCAAACAATTGTGCTTCAGCAATGTCACTAGACATAATGCTTTCATCACATTTATCACATTGATTCCCTTTAATTCTCTGTCATTCCTGAGTGTACTCTAACACTGAATTATGTAATTTAGTTTGGATCTCACATTAATGACTCACCAGATGAAACACATATGCAGAAGATACCTCCAGTTTCCCTACTGCAACCCAGTGTCTGCTAAGTTTATTTATGATTTTGAAAGCACATTTGCTGCTTGACCCATCATTTGAGTTAGGTCAAATAGTTGAAGATGATGCATTTATATCATAAAATTATAATTCTCAGAATTTTTCCTTTATTCATGGACAGCTATCCAAAAGAAAACTAACCTTTTTACCTTAAATTTAGGTTCTACCTTGACTAATCTGCACTTCTCTTTCTCTTAAAGAAAGTTTCTTTTCAGGCAATCAGTCAATTACAGAGTTCACACTTCAGAAAACTCAGTTTGAAGCCAACTAATTGTTAAAAATGTGAAGAAATGCATGTTGAAAGTCTGTATTTATTTTACTCAAAGTCAGTGTAAGACTTCAGCTGTACAACACCTGAACTGACATGAAGAGAAAATAAACTAAATAAAGAACAGCACAAGGAAGAGACACTAAAGAAAACAATGACTCAAATTGTTTTTTAGACTTTAGAATTTCTCCATATGCTATAAACTATTTTTAAGATGGTACTGTAAACTCAAGCTTCTTTCAAATAAAAACATATCAGGCAGGATATTAAGATAGAAACCTCAGTAAATTTGTTGATACATTTCTATTGGAGTGACTAATGAACCCACTGTGCCCTAGACAGATTCATAATGAGAGTTCATGGGTTCAAACCCTGTCTGGGGCTCATTCATCAAAATTAAATGTGTACTGCAGCTCAGCATTAAAAAATATCCATCCACTCCTCCTGTAAATCTATTGCTTACAATGGAAAAAAACTACTGGGTTGACTTTTTGACCCTGGAACTGTGATCAACTGGCTCACTTGTCCAAGGTCAAACAAAATGCAGCAGTGAAAGCTGAGAAATTTTTAGTGTTGAGAAACTGCCATATATAAAATGTGAGTGGGAGGACAACGGAAAGCTTGTTACCAAGTTAATTAATATTTATAAACTACATTAGAATAAAGCTACTCTATAGTCACTAGAAATTATATTGTTGACAATTTCAGAAATGTATCCTTCCACACTTCTGTTTGTGGTTTGTGCTTTGTTTGGGGGTTTTTGCCTTTCATTTTTTGGTTTGGTTTGGTTTAGTTTGCGGTATTTTTTTGATTTTTAAAAATTTATTTATAGGAACTAGAGATAATTCTCGTATTTTCATTCATGACTTTTAACATATTTTCTCGATTTCTTTGCCTATTATAGCAAAATATTTCCAGAAGGTAAAAATATCTTCTGATGTAAGGAAATACCACCAGCAGCATTTTCAAAATATTGGGCAGATATTTCTGTTCAGACACTTATTTTGTTCAGGGGTAACTCTGAATAAAGTCAATTAAAATAACTCTATCCGTGACAATGTTGAAAAAAAGAGGAGACGACAACTTAGCTTTATAGGCAGTTAATAAAAATTTGAGTAAAGAGAAGATAATTCAGCAGGATTAGAAATCTGAGCTGTTTATGGGAAATAAGATGGAAATACCTGCTGTACTCAATATCATCTGTTGCTGAGGGTTTGTGGAATCCCTGGAGTGCCACAGGGTCTGTGTGTGGGCAGTGCTTGGGACACTGAACCAGTGAAAGGGAAGGACAGAACTGCAGGAACTGACTTAACTGGGAAGGTCCCAGCTCCATCCCAGCAGATTTTGGGCTCTTTTTAAGTAATATTATACACGAACTTGCAGTAGTCCTATAGCATTCTTATCATTGCCCTGGACTAAAAACATCAGTAGAGTCATGGCTTAAAAAGACAATAATTTGACTCAACTAAAAAAAGTAATAGATAGCAAACAAAAGCAGAGTACAGCACATACAAACCTACCTCCAAATTCAGTGAGCTAAAGCTACATAGTTCATTATGTTATTTCCATTACAGTGAGCTGATGTTCAAGACATAAAGGAAATTTGATGAAAATGTTCCTGTAGGCTTTAAATAGCTATGGAGAAAGTGATTGGACCATCCAGATTTCACTTCTGTTCTTCCAATTACAGATCAACTCAAAGCTATTGCAAAAGATTTTGACTAAAATCAATAGTTTTGTCTACACAAATTTGCTACACAAGTATCTCTCTGCAATTCTAAAAGCCAGTTTGATGTCCCCCTTGTCCTGCAACAGGAGGCTTGGGCTGACCATCCTCCCCACACCCTGGTACTCAGCTCTCCCCTGCCAAAACACCAATCCCACCCTCGGCCACCACTTTGCACAGTTAAGACAAATTCTGTTCTCCCATGCCTTAAGAGTTTGATGGGCAGCAAATCTTTGTATGATTTTCAAACTGACTACAAGTGCAGGTTTTTTCCTTGAAGATCTATATATCAGGAGGGGCTCAAAATGCATTTATTTTCAATTATATATGACTCAGTTTTGAGTAAGCACAGCTTTTTGAGGCATGTGAAGAAAAAAATTCTTTGTGGTTGCTAAAATTTTCAGGATCCTCTTTAAAAAACTGGAGAGCACAATTGCACTGTAAAATTCAACTGCTCAACTGTGCAAATTATACCCCAGACAGGTCTTATTTATTTTATGGATCCTATTTATTACTGTTCATTTCGGCTTTGTGTATTTTACATTTCTGGCAGCACATATATCTAAACAGAAAGACTGCAGAGATTGTATTGGGCCAAAGGGGTTTTATCACTCCCTAAGGTGAATGCTTTACCCAGGAAAATTGGATCTCCACTTCATTTAATGTAAACCCTGAGGGAAATCCAAACAAATGGGACATGCTATGTTTATTCCTTGAGTTCTGAAAATACCCCCAGCAGTCAGATTCCCAGTATGGAAGGTGTTACTGCATTTCCAAAAGCAGGAACAGGGCTTTAGCTCAGTCAGACTTTCAATCCCAAACACATAAAATGACTTTACTAAACTGGGAACAGGAAAAAGAAATGTGCAAAACCAATGATACCAAGGTGTAAGCTGGGAACAGAGAAGATTTTTTCTTTGCTCAAGTTGTCCAAGTTGCTCTCATGATTTCTTCCCTACCAATCTGAGATGTTTGTATTTTTTGCTGTACACAGAGGAACAGAGACACAAAGCTGTCAGGCATGTATCTGCTATCCAGAAAGTACAATCAGAATCTGGTGTTCAGAGAAGTGTTCTGGAGGGCAAGTTAAAGGCTAAAAAGAGACAAAAAGTATATATAAACCTATGTTAAATGCACACATATCTGCTTGTGTGTAAATCAGCATCAGGGCAGTAATCATCTGTATGAGCCTGTGAAACCACTCACTTCACAAAGAGAACAACACATGCCCAGCCCTCTGATTAACTGAGGGCAGTAATCAAGAAAGCAATGCACAAAATTGCTTTTCCTGCACCAATTATCTAATAATGTGAAGTATCACACACTATCTCAGTGAAAAAGCATTTTCTGGTCACTCAAGTTTAGTTTGGAGCCATTGCAGCTCTTTGTCTGTTCTTTTATCAACTAAACTGCATTTGAAAGTCTCTTGGGCCTCTACCAATATAATAGTAATTTCCTCAAAAAGCTGAAATGCCTAATAATTTTTGCAAACTGTGGAATGAAGTATTAATTCTGTGAAATGACCAATTTCCATGTGATTAAATATATATGTTTGTAGCAGTGATTCATCAACAAGTCCATATACTGACAACATTCCAGTATGCAAAACATATGACACTTATTAAGCAAAGAATTCACATTTGCTTAATATTTGCTCTTTGTGGGAGGTTTCCTGTCCCACTCTCAAACCATAATATACTCTGCATTTCACATTGACAATGGTGAAAGAAAATCTTAAACATGAAGTCCACAGCAGAGAAAACTGTCACACTTGCTCATTTGGTTTTCCTTACAAAAATATTTTTATAACTAATAACAACAGGTTCCAGCACTTTTAAAATTTCCTTTGAACAAATGCACTATGACTATCCAGAGCACATTATGAAAAGTGAGCAGGAAAAACAAAAAGGCTATACAATCCTACCAATATGTGCTGTTTTACAAATCTGAAACCATCAATCAAAGAATTGAAGCCAGGCAGAAGTACTTACAGATGGGACAGGGACACCAGGTCATTGAAAGAACCCTCAGGAACACTGGAAATATCATTTCCATGGAGTGTCCTAGAATGGGGAGAAGCAGGAAGGTATCAAACCACAGTTTTTTTGCCTGATCCCTGCAACTGAAGGAATCAATGCTTAAAAAGGGTATTTAATTTTGATTCTTTGAGAGTTTCTGTGAGTTTCACAACTCATGAACTTCCATGCTTTTTCACTCCTGCCTCTAGGTGTTGGCATTTAAAACAACGATGCAATCAGAATTGTTGGTGAGTGCTGCTGTAAATTAAAAAGGTGACATACTATTTATGCTATTAAAAGTGTAACGATGACAAGAATTCTCTTACAGAATCCCATTAGCCAGAAGCACAACAAAAACAGAGCAGGGGAAATACGAATTGTGAAAGTTAAATTAAGTATTGACTTCAGAGAGATCCTGGGAGAGAGAGCAAGGGTCCCTGAGGGTAAATATAGCCACACTTTCCCATTCTTACAGGAGAAAATACCTCTCTGTGCTACCAAGGAGAGCACCTGAAATCAGTTGTTTTAGGACATTATTCACCCTGTGCAAAGAAACGATCATTTTTTAGCAGCATTTTTAGGACTCCTGAAAGGAGTGAAAAGGTTCTCCACAGTTTCCAGGACAATTTAAGCACCCACTTTATCTCCTGTCTGAGAAACACATTTGTGCGGGGGTTACATAGGAAAGCATAAATGGGAATTACTGTCAGTGCTCCAGACATGGCAGAGGAGGGAGGAAAACAGAAAGCTGCAGTGTGTTTTGGAGCAGCTCTTGCCCTTGAGTCATTTATTTTCTAACTTACCTGGTGATTTGCTGACACAGGAATCACAGTTTCTATTTCTGTGACTGTACATATTGTTGAAACATTGGGTTTAATCCAAGTATCAACCCATGGAAACAGACAACAGCCCCAAATGAAAAAAAAAAAAAGCATCTATTTTTTGCAACCCTTCTTCCCTAACACCACTTTCAGCTGCACCAGGGTGTACATGATGCCCATCCAACATCCCAAATTCTAAAATTTTCCTTTAAGCCTCCCTAGGTTTTGAGTATTAATAACTTGGCATATATAAGAGTGTACCTCCAAGAAATTAATCTGAACAGGAACAGGAAGGATATGAGCTCCCACACAGTAACTCCAGATAAAACATACTCACTAATTCTGTACAGAAGGACCAACTGAGTGAGACAAACCCCACGTCTATAAAATAAGGAGTATTTTGTTGGTGTGAGGAGGCCTAGTCAACTACTTGTCATCAAAATGGTCAATGAAATAAGCACAAATGAATAAGCAGCTGCTCATAATGAGCTTATTGCTGATCTTTTAAACTGCAAGACAATTCTCTGTAAACAGACATATTAATCTTCGGGTTGTATCAGTCACATTTATCCTGTGAAGGAGTACATTTTCTTTTCTAGGTGTATTGGAAACATCTAAGAGAAGCTGAAGAATGACATAGCCATTTATCTGTAAGAAGTTAAACCTGTCAAATAAAAACCTTAGAAGGATTGGCTTTATTTCATGCCCCAAACACTGAGGTGTTTCATGGATGTAAGTGCCTGCATTTTAATAAAAAAAATCATGTCAGCAACATCATCACTCCTGCAACTAAAACGAAATGACAAATGCTAAACCCCCCTTAAAACTCACAAAAATAAATAGTGGCAAGAGAATTCAACAGTGCAACAAAATCTTTCCTCTTGGATCAACATCAGGAACACATTTTTATACCAAAACTCCTTTATAAGCAAATGGTCAAATAAAATCTTTCACATTAGGACAGTTAAAGCACACACACTGCTGTGTGTATTCTGCCTCAAAAGCACAACTTCCAGGGATCCTCTTGTCTAAACTCCAGCAAACAGCAGGGCCATGGATTTAAGGTGATGTGGATCTCCTCTGGAGGAGAGAGTAACAGAACAGTTGAGAATTCTTGAAATCAAACCTTCCTTCTACACAGAATCACTAACTTATTCCTTTGTCTTCGGGGGAGGAAATTAATTCAACACATCCTTTTGGGCTGGGGTTTTCTGGATGTTTTTCTTTTACAAACCCTTCCCACGTCCTGCCTGCCAGCCCACTGTCCACAGCACCGGGTTCCTGCAGACACAAGGGGGATGTGTTTTTGTGAAGACAGAAATGTGCCTGAAGGGTTGAGCCCACAGAGCCACAAGCAGGGGCAAACACCTACAGGAACCCCCAAGGGTGCCAAACCCTGCAGGAAGCAGCAGAGCTCAGATGTCAGGGAAAGCCCCCAGTGTCACTGCCCCACGCCCCCAACAGCAGAGCTTTTACAAATTTATTTTTTACAAATCATTCTCTAATTCCTTGTATGCAAAAAATAATAATAATAAAGAAACAGCCAGATGCTTCTGTTTAGGTCAAATCAGTGCAGCACCCAACAATGAAACTGTATTACAAAAACTTTGTGCCCAAAGATTATTGGTGACAGCTTTATCATCACGAATGTTAGTGTTTGTCTGAGCTTTGAACTGCAGGAAATATCCAACAGTTTTCAGTAAAACTGGAGTATCTGTTAATAGAATATTCAGTAGGTAATTTTATTCCTTTTCCCCCCTAACCATAACATGGACAATTATTTTATGACCTTAGAAAGTATTTTGATTTTTGGACTTTGCCTCTTAACTAAGTCACATATAAAAATATGTGATTACACAATAATCTTTAAAATAATCTGTTCAGGTCATCCAGAGAGTTCTAATACTTATGATTTGTCTCAATCTCAGCTTCCTTATATTTAGTCTGTAAGAAGACTAGCTTTGGACAAATTAACTGAAAAACAAATCCACAACTTTTCACTTTAATAGCTTTGGCTCAAAAATCTACTGATATGAACTTCTGCTTATTAAAAAATTCTCCAGACTTTACATCCTGTGCTCCCCAGCACCCTTTGGCTGCTGCTATGGATAAACCATGTGAAGGCTGAGATTAAAGACCTGATTGTGTAAACACTGATAGATATTAAGGCTTAAACATAAACATGTTGACTCTGCAGTTTTCTCACTTGTGCTGAAAAATCTAAGAAAGGGAGCTCAGAATTAAATATCTATCAAAGACCAAGTGCATCATACAGCTATGATTATTCTGATTTTCAGAGCACTTATTTACTGTATTTACTATAGAAACAAAAAATACAGAAAACATAAGGAATCTGGAAGACCTTCATGAGAAGGGTCTGCTACCTTCAGAGGCATGCACAGCCAAAGGTAATGAGATCCCTATATTCTTTTTATAAAAAAAAAAAAAAAAGGAAATTGTTTTGCTGATGTTTTCTTTTTTAAGTTCCCCTGAGAGCATGGATAATAAAAATCTGACAATAACAGATTTCATTTTGTCTCTTGGAAACCATTTTCTCTTTGGAGAATTGATTTTTAGTAGCAGCAGTGATGACACGTGGCAAAAGTTGTAGCTGATACCAGAGTTTTGTGGGCCATAATAAATCAAATCAATCTGGAAGCTTCCAAATCCAGGGAGCAGAGGCAGAGATTCCCATTTAGGCTTCATTTCACTGCTCTGTGCAAGGCAGTGGGGGTTTTCTCCCCTGAAGGAGGAAGATACTTTTTGATTTTGATTTGCAAATCACTTTAAAAAGCCAAAAAACAACAGCTGTCATTAGAATACTGCCCTCTGTTTCTGCCCATATGTGGCCTGTAAGAACAGAAGTGAAAAGACAAATTGTAGCTATTGGGAAGAGGGAGGCACGGTTTATCTACACTGTAATTCAGGGTAGAGAGCCCCACACGAGCTGTAATCAAGCTAGCTTGCATATCAGAAGCAGGCCAGAAGACAGCTCCATATGGAATAATTTATTTGGCCATGAAACAGAATATATTAATCTGTGGCTGAATTTCAGGACTCATGTAACAGCTCAAATGTGACCATCCTAGTGAGCTAGAAATCAGGATCCCAAGCCAAACTTAAAACAACAAATCCAAATCACGTATCTTTCTTGTTTTTACTAATGAAAAGTGGGAATCCAAAGCTGTCTTGTAATTTGGGAAGCTGAAACTGAGATATCTGTTTTACCACTGAAACCACAGTGAAAGGTCTCAGCCAAGCAGCTCTGCCTTATTGCTTCCACAGTCCCAGTACTGCCCATGTTGACACTTTGATTCCACGTTTATGGAGCCAGTACACAGCAACCACTGCTCTTCAAATCAGCACAAACTTCTGCATCTGAACATCATCTAATTTTTTTTCTTTTAAATGGAAAGTATCAATGTGAAGTTTCAAAGCACTCAGGACAATCTTCAACTCCTCTGTCCTGAGCTTTGAGTGTTCAGAGCTCTTTCTCCTTCAGCACACTGAACAAACTCACCCCAGACAAGCTATTTAATTTATCCCCTTTGGCTACTGTGCAAGTCATGGTGACCCACTCGTGTTTCTGGGCCATGGGGAGGAAGGTGCCTTCTCCACCTTCCTGACAGCTGCACGTGGTGTCCACAAAACCAAGCCAGGGTTTGTTTCTGACAGTGAGAGGCAGTGAACACAAGCCAGAAGCAGAAGCCAGTCCTGTAGATGTAGAGGAAAGCTGGGAGGAGGCTCTTGCTGTGAGGAACAGGCCCACAGCCCGCACTCTGAGGCAATATAAAGATGACTTTCACAAGAGATTGCAAACAAATGGTTTAATCCAGAAAGCTGCTGAAAGCAGCTACACTGGAAAGAAAGGAAGAGTGCAGAAAAGGACCTCCCAAGAAATAAACCACACATGGGTATCTCTGAGCAGGCCCCCACTTGATACGAAGTGTAATTTTATTCACAACTTAGGGACATTTGAGACAGGCATTTCAGCATTACTGGTGCCCAGCCACTGATCTGATTTATTCACTGATTTAGTTTGAGGGTTTCTAACTTCCCTTCAGATCGCATTCTAGCTTGCCTACATAAATCTGAATCAATAGAAAATATTCTGAAAATGCACAAGTATTCCACAAAGACACTCTTTGAAGCATCCAATGGAAACTCACACTCTATGTACAAGTGTATACAGACTAAGAGAAAAGTCCTTTCCTGTGGAGCACCCAAACAATGTTCAGGCAGAAGAGACAGACTCTATGAAGTCTTTTGGAGACCTGTTTTCATGATAGCTCCTGTACCTGAGCCTTCAGAGAAAAGCCACGCTTCCTGCAAATGTGTAATTGCCTCTTTAGCACTCACCTACTCTGGCCTCTACTACACAAACTGCACCTGAGTACAAATACATTGACACTAATTATGTGAAAATTCATGACAACCTGCACATTAAACCCTCCCTGCCCTCAGGTGCAGCCTAGCAAAGCTGCAGCTCAGCTGCACTGGAGGAGTTGCACTTACAGCACTCGCAGGGACCGCAGCCCGTTGAAGGCGTGGACGGGGATGCACCGGAGCCGGTTGTAACTCAGGATGCTGCAGAAGAGGAGAGCAGAGTCACAATCTGTGTTGGCTTTGGTTATTTCACTGCTAATTCAACTACAGATAAGCATGGAAAGCCACATGCTTAAGCAACAAGAGATACACTAATTGCTCAACAGCTTAGAGGGTGTTAGAAAAGCAATTAAAGCTATTATCAAAACTCTGGGCTACTTACAGCGTTGATAACTGAGTCATGTTGCTGAAGGTGTGATTGGCCAATACACTGATGCTGTTGTTACTCAAATCACTAAAGAAACACACAGAGAAAATATAATTTACATGTACGAATTAAGAAAAATGCTTTTTTGAAAAGATTACATAAAATCTGCACAGAAAAATGCTTGAAGCAATTGAAAAATCACACATTATCAACTCGTGTATTTTCTGACCGACTTTGAATGAGCTCTAAAGGAAAAGCACATCAGACTCCCCTAAAGTCTCAGACTCAGAAATATTAAGGCATATTTCCAGCTTATAGCATTCCATGAAAAGAACAAATGAATAAATGATACAAGCACTGCTGAATATTTACTGTTCCAACTTGCTTTGCAACTTACTCTAGGCACCCCACTTCCATATGCTCATCATATTGACAGCTACTAGAACATAATTTCATTTTTCATTTTAAAAAGTGTTTTAGGCTCAACCAGAACCTTTTATTTTCTTATTGACCTCCCCTGAAAAGCAAAATTAGAGATGTTTCCAAATAAAAAACACTCTTTAAACAAAGGATTCCAGTTTTTCCTCCATGTTGTTTTTGTTTTGTTGTTTTTGAGGTTGCCCAGCCTATGGGAGTGGAGTATCTGCACAGCTGATTCCAACAACATTTGCAAATTCCTGATGAACAATTCATGCAGGGAATTTCACTCCTGTGTATTTCGGGGAGCAATTTACAGAACAAAGTCTAGCTGTGTCTCTATCTGCATGACTGTTCATAGAAGAAACAGCTATGCAAATTGTCATTGCCTTAGCATTATAAATATGGCCTCATCTAGCACAAATTAATGTGTCTCCTCTGCTAATGACCCTTACAGATAAATCTGCCAAGTGAAACTGCAGTAGCCTGTGGGAGAGTTTTGTCCTCTTGAGGTCCTGCAGAGCAAGGGGCTTCTCAGGCACCTCACTCTTTATGAACATTTATTGGCAGCAGTGTCTACTATGAAATTCTTTCCAAATTCAAATTACGGAAGGTTTTGGGGTTTGGTGTTGGTTTTTCCCCCCTCCCCTCCAAATGCCAATTATCTATGTTTCACCAACAGCATAGTGCAGAACAAGTAATGCAATTTTCCTGACATTGAAACCACGTGTTTCTTACATCAGTGTCAGGTGTTTGAAGGCAGAGAGCCCCTTCGGCACAGCAGGCAGATGGTTTCCTTCCAAGTATCTGAAAAAAGTCAGACAATTACACAAACACATTAACAAGAACTCATGTCACTCAATCTGCACCATCATTGAGGACAATATAAAGTCAGTCACTAATGAAATTATCTTTGAATCACTGCTTCGAAACTCCAAGAGCTTTTACTTAATAAATGAATTACCCCCCATGCAAAGCTTATTGATTTACTTTATTTGTTTTAAAACTTGGAAGTGCATAAAGGATCTCTGGCCTACAGCAAACAGAAATGACCATTTGGTTCTTCTGTGACAGCAGCTGAAGAAAGGGAGAAAAACTGCATGGCTTGTGCCCTGAACTTAGAGTTACCCTTCCCAAGGCTCTCCAACAGTGCTGACTGCTCCCTGACCCCACAAGGGAGGCTTTGTCTTGTGCATGTAAGTTCCTTGTGCAGCCAGAATGGGAAGGGGAGTTGCACTCCCAGAGCTCTGTGCTGCAAAAGGTCCCACTTATTCCAGCATCAACACCAACATCCCCAAGTTTGATGGCTCATCCACGATGGCAATATACCCTCCTTACCTCTCCTCTGCACAGCATGCTGGTAAAGGAGAAAACTTGGTATAAATTAAAGACCAAGCTCTCTTGGAACAGAGGTTCCTCCCACATGCATTAAATATATTTAACAACATATCTTGTGTTTCCAGTGTGGAAGTTGTTTGAGACACCACTGAACCAACTTCTATGCCAACACAGGCTTGGTAGGGCTAAAGCCTTTGGGGATAATCCTAACTCCTCATACAGGCAAAGAGAGCCTCCATTTTGCAGTTTTCCTCCACTGAAGGAACATGATCAGTGAGGTACTCAGCAAAACCCCCTGAAAAAACACAATAACTCTGAAAAAGCTTGCCTAGAAGAGAGCGTGGGTACTCCAGTCTGCACAGCTGACTTGTGGCAGCAATGGGATGTGGGCATTTCCCTGTTTATTACAATAAAAGAGCTGGAGGTTTTTTCCCTTAACCTTGGCTTTTAGGTACCCCTGGAAGATACCAAAGTAATAAGGCTCCAATGGAAAATGACTGCTGTGGTACTATGGCAGTGTCAAGATGTTTCTCCAGATATCTTCCAGAAGCAACATCGACCTGGGAAACAAATCCATCCCTCTCAGAAAGCACTGTGGAGGAGGAAGGCATTCCTCCCTCCATAGGTGGGATGAAAGAGAAAATGGTATTTCTGGTATTTCCCTTCCTTACATGATGCTGCAGGGATGTTTCCTGAGGTAGACATGGGGCAATGCAATTGATATAGAATGTTTTGAAACATAATCAGGAAATGCAGCCCACAGACACCAGAACACTTCATGTGCTGCCTCTGCTGCTGAAAAAAGAATCTGATAATCATGTTAAGAATTTTTATTCCACACATACAATTTCCTTTTCTTTGGCAACAGGCCTCCTTATTCTGCACTTACTATAGCAAACAACAATAATAATAGATTATCCTTGTGCTCTATGTTCCCTTTCTACATTAACTGTAACAGCACAGAGATACTTGCATAAACTAAATCCAAGAAAATTTCCCCACAAACTTTATTTTTATGTAATTAAAAAAATAAAATCTATAAAAAACAACAGAATTTCTTACATAATATATTTTATAGCTGGCATTATTTTTACCCCCTTTTGTTTCATCTTAATGACCTCTCATTCATTTTCTGCTGCTTCAAATCTCTTTTCTACTGAACTCCAGCTGAACTACTCCACCCAGCCTCACAGTTATCCTTTCTGCCTGTGCACAGGATCCCATCCTGGCAGAGTTACCCTGGAGCATGCACTGGAGCTCACCTAACTCCTTGCCAGGATTAGACTGGACAAGGTGGGAATACCAGCTTCTGACTTTTTAACCAAAAAAATTACTTTCTCAGTTAAAAAACCCCACTGAACTAATGAATCTCTCCCCTGGCAATGATCATGATCATTGAGTGAGAGAGCTGCACAGGCAGCAAAGCAGGGACAGTCTCACTAGCCAGAGGACAGGTTAGTTGTTTCACACTTACACCTCCCATGGATATCCACATTCAGCAAGTGGAAAGCCATTTGCTTAATTTTGGCTATATCTGTTATAAATTATTGTGAAAATGGAGTTCCTTGGTAATTTCCCAGTATAAATTGTTATGTAGGAGATTCTCAGAATTTAGGCATGCATGTCACATTTTTAACAGGGCAAACCACGTCTCTTTCCTGCAGTCATGGTCCACTGTGGATGCAGCAGGATGCCAGGAGTCTGTGCCTTCTCCTTCATCCCAGAAAATCACAAATCTCAAACCCATGCAAGACGGCAGGTTAAGGTTCTAGTCTTTATTCCAAATGTAAAATTCTAAGGATTTCTAAAGGAAATCAAAAGCAGGTCATGTATTATGTATTTGGAACTTATATATGATTTTCGTTTAGGAAAGGAGACTCTTGCAATATGCTGAATTCTTCAGGAACGTATTTTCAGGATATTCTCCTGTTGATCTCAATATGAAACAGCCTGCAATTTAAACAAACTGATGGTAGTCAGCCAAAGTTTTTCTCTCCTCTTTTGCTTTCTGGGGCAATCAGAAGTCAAGGGTGCACATTTTAATTCAGTGCTTTATGACTCAGACTAACACAGACATGCAGACCCCTGGAGTTAAACTCCTACAGAAGATCTGCTTTGAACAGCTCTGGATTTGCACTGCAGTAATTTGATGGTTATATAAATGTGCTAGCAGAAAACTGCAATAATCATATCAGTGGTACAGTTTCTGAATAAACACAATTTAACTCTGAAAAAGTACAGATAACACACTTTTCATGCATCCATAAGAACAATTCACCACCACTAAACCTCTCACCCCATTATCCAAAGCGTGGCAGCTTTTTCAAGCTGAAGGCATTCATTCTGAAAGCACATTTAAGTGCAGGAATTTGAAATAACCAAGGCTTTTAGGGCATAAGAGCCTGCCAAGTATCACGAGGATCTGGGATGCAGGATTTGAGGCAAACAACTGCAGCAGGGGAGCTCAGTCAGAGCTGGGGCTGCAGGGCCAGCCCCTCCCCACCTTGCTGGGCTCAGCAGGATGGATGGGGCTGCAAGGGGGCTGGAAGCTGGACATAGTGAATAGAAGAATTATTCCTCAGGGCAAATGGGCAGAGACACAAAACTTTGTGTATTTATGTATACATCTATATAAATAAAAAAACACAGATGAAGCTACAGATGCCCTGCCAAAAATACCCTCAAAATAGCCATAAAAGAGAGAATTTGGAAGGAAGATTAAATTTTTAATTCTTTCCAGTCTTTAGCCAAAGGAATATGATGTCCATGGCGTCTGGTATGCAAAGAAATTCTGGTATGAATGAAAAAAAATACATGTCTAATTTTAATTCTGGGAATCAAGTTCTTAATATACAGAGTCAAGACTGAGTGTCAGTTACCCTAAAATAGACACTGACTGCTATCCAAAACAACCTCATCTGCTTCCTAAGGTCCCTAGGCTCAAGTTTAAATATCAGATGGGAGGTTTTCTGTTTTTTCTTTACCCTGTGAATGCTGCTGGGAACCCTCAAGCCTCAATAATGACTTGTAACCAACAAGCAACTACCAGAGCAAAAAATGAAAAAAAAAAAAAAACCAAATGAAAAAATCCCAAAATACGTGTTCAGCTCTCAAAGAAAGCCACCACCTTCCTACCTGGGAAGGTTTCTTCTAGAACATGGCCAGGGGGGCTGGCACTGTGGGGCAGGGCCTGCAGCAGTCCCAGGGCTCATCCAGCACCTTCCACACACACCAACATTGCACATAAAACATTTAAAACTATGCATAAAAGATGACAGCTGCTCTTTTTCCAACTTGGCTATTTCTGTACTGAAACCACTTGGATTGGAGGTGATATAACCAGCACAAGGTGCCAGAGCACAGTGTAACAATTTGAATCACTTGGAATCCTTTTTGTACTGAGATGTCTATTCAGCCATAAAGTCAAGCTCTCAGTGGCAATCTGTGCTAAGAGGAGAAACTGGAGAGACAAATCAGTTCTCAGGCAGTAATTGAAAAGGCACAAAACCTTTCTTTTAAATATTCCACAAAGAATGTTACATTACAAAAACCAAGATACTTGGCAATTTTATACAGCTCTAAAATTAAGTTGCACTCCAAAATTTTTAATATGTGTACCCAGTATCCAAAAATTCTGAGTCAAATTTCATTTCCTAAAAATGGTGGTCTAGAAAAGAATTGGACTGTGAAAGATGAAACATCCACAAAATATGAATTTTAAGAGCTTCAATTACAGTTTCTTGAGAAGAAACAAAAATCAAGTGTGGATCTAGGTTCAAATATAGATCTTGAACTTTTGTAAGCTTTGGCAAATTTGGACTCTGGGTTTTGCTGTATTTATACATCAGACAACAATCTCCATGTGTGACACACAGAAACATGGCCATGTTTGAAAGGAAGTTAAACTTTAGTCTCTGCTAGTGCTATCATCACCTTTCTGATATGTACTCTAACTTTACCAGTCACTGAACATGTCATTTAATAGTATTGATATGATTTACTTTTTCTAAACTATCATGTTTGAAATGCAAATTATTTCTTCTGTTTTACCTGTAACTAAAATATCCTCTACAGAACTCTCCCTTCTCTCAACGGGAGAATCCCCCTCTGCAGAAAATGACCAGGATCATGGAACCTCATTGTTTCTCTGCTTTATTACAAAAGACAAATTCCCTGATGCCTGTGCTTGGGGTCCGCGTGTAAAACAGTGTGAACTGTCAGACCAGCAAGAGAATTTGCATTCTCAAGCAGATGATTTTCATCAAATATCTCACTCCAGAGTTTCCCTTTGATCAGCAGCAAGACAGGCAAACTGAAAAACAGTGCTAAACTGTGACAATATTCCACAACTATCAAAACTGCTGTGGGCATGTTTGTAAAATCGATTACCATGGCCCAGGTACCAGCCACTGTTTTTAGTCACAAGTCAAAGGAAATCACAACTGCCTTGGAAGCTCGAAAAAAAGGGTTGGGATTGGTGGCAAATACCTCCAAGTAGACATAAAAACTGATGTGTCAAATACATGAATCTACCAGGCAGAACAAGAAACAGAAATGGGAAAGAGAAGGTTTGTGAGGAGAGAAAGAGAAATGACAAAAGTAATGCAAATATTAGCCTGCATTAATATAAATGGAAGGAAAAATAATCACTAACAATGATGTATGAGCACAGGTTTTTCTAACAATCCCACCAGTGCTATCCTATAGCCTGGTGTCATGACAACATTTGGAGTCTAGAGATGACATGATTGGTACATATTTATTCTAAAACACATCACGCTCATTATGTTACAGCTTGTGCACACTGTCCACATAATTGCCTCCAATGTTTTTCCCCAGTGCAAAATGTTATTTGCTGTAGGTCCATAAAAGCAGCTGGATGCTGTCAGATAAGACTTTATTAGAAATAGACTATACTTTTGTGAATAAAAGGAAAAAATCTAGTGTTCACACACTGAGGTAATACATAAAAGGAGAAAGAGCATGGGAAACTTAGTTCAAACAGATTTAGCGAAAAAATATAGAAGAAAAGGAAAGCCTAAAACACTAAGCAGCAGCAAGGCTTAGTTCCAAACTAGCTCATTGCATGAACATTTTACTTCTGAACATCTGGAGCAGACAACTGAATATGTTCAAAAAATCCAACTCTTCAGGGCAAGCAAACAGTGGTGAAAAAATGTAGGCAGTACATAAATATACAGTGGAGGAATATACAGTGGAGGAATTTGCAAGAAACAACAGAATATTTTCCTATTCCCAAGAAGCTGGAAGAACTCTTGCCCATGATGACAAGGTTTTCTGAAGAAAAAGCTGGGAAATAGAAATTTCTTGCATCATCATTCCTCTGAAAAGCCAGGACACTTAGTGATCTTTCAACTCTGTTCTTGATAGAAGCCTTCCCTGCCAAAGTAATCCCTGCTCCCAAGGGTGGTACAAACCAAACACAGGGATGTCTCCTATCATTCCAAGCTCTAAATGTGAAGGAGATAATGGTTTTCACATGTCTTGTCTATATATACATTGAAACAGAAACCCAGAATGAACACTGAAAGGAGTGAGCCTGCGTCTCCTGTCCACCCTGCAATAAAACTTTGCTGGGGATCTTTTTTGCTGAGTGTAGGCACAGTGAAATTTGACCCAGAAAGGGAAACATTTCCCCTCTGTGCTTGTGCAAGAGATATGCTTATTTTTGCACAGTGCTATTTAATACCGGTTACAAGGAAAGGATTCTTGTTTTAAGACTTTTTAAGATCTCTAAGAGAATTTAAAGAAACTTCTGAGAAAGCTACATTCAAGCCACAAGAGAGTGGTTTAAGTAGATATGTGGCAGCTCTTTTCCTTAAACCACATTGCACAAAAGCACTGCAGTTTAATAAAAAGCACTGCAACCAATGTGCCTGGCAGATGAATACGTCAGCAATGGAAGGTTATAAATGTCAGACTGGTGCATTCATAAAAATTGCACTGAAATGCTCCCGTGAATCCTGTCCCTGTTCAGGCCTCCTGCAGGGAGGATACAGGGACAAGAGGCTCTGCATGTCCTTGTCACCCCCTTGCACCGTGACTGTGCGCTTGGGCAACTGAACAAGGCAAGTCTCTTTCACTCTGTGCCCAGGAAGCTTTTGGGTTCCCTATTCCAGGCTCCAGCTGTCCTCAAGATGAGGCAAGAGGCTGGGTTCCGCATCAGATGCTGCTTATCACAGCAACAACGGCAGTTCTCAAACACAGAACAATAAAAATGTGTAACCTCACACTGGTAACTCCTAACCTGCATGATATAGCAGGTTATGGGTGGTATCTCTATCTCAATCTGTAAGCAGAAGAAAAGCAAGCAAGATTGATTTTTTTTTTAGTTACTTATTTCATTCTTGTCACAGTTTCCACAAACACATGAGATTTTATGCTTCAGTACCTGCAACCTATCTTTTGGTGTAGATACAAATAAGGAGCTCAGTTTATGTTGGTGGAGAGGAGAATGAGATCAGGATTGAATTTGGAGACAGCTGGGACAGATTCAAAGGTTATATCTGCAGAATATGAAATATTCAGAGCCAGGCAGTCCATGGCTGTCTGTGTTCTGCTGACACATTTCTGGATGGAAAGCAGAAAGCTGAACTAGAGCTTTGCACAGCCAAGAGGCTCCTTGAAGAAGACAGTCACGTAAACTCCTATGAACTCAAACTGCTCAGTTCCAGGCTATTGCCTCATTTGCCAAGACATGGTTAAGAAATCTAGCAGTTTTTAAGAATACGAGATTAATTTTAGTCTTTTTCGTGAAAGCTGTGTCATCAGGGTATCAGACAGCATCAGTAAAACTCAAGATGCAAAATTTAAACATAAAAATTCCTCAGAGTGGCAGTGGAAATCAAAGTAACATCTGTGATATCTTACTGCTGCCAAGTTATATTTGAATGCAATGACACCTGAACAAAAGCAGAGCAGAGATGGCCTTGCAGACTTAACACTGATGGCAATATATAAAGGAATCCAGGCCAGGAATTGGCTTTTAATTCAATTCACTGTTAACCACGCCCTGGTTAAAGGTGTTCACAGGATGTATTCATTAATGCAAAGTTTCCGTGTTGAGTTACCCCAGGCACTTCCAGTACCCTCATTCACTAACAAAGCCTTGTATTTGTCTACAGCACTGGCAAAAACTATGTGAACCCCATTCTCCCCTGTGAAGGGAGTAAAAATAATAGTAGGTACTAGAAAATAGCAGAACCAGATTTTAGTTCATTATAAAATTCATCAAACATACCAACGAACTCAACCAATTATTTTCACATAGAAACGTTGATGAGATTGTAACAAGTTTCAGTAATGACTCACCTGGGATAGATTTGAATAAAGGCCTAAAGGGGAAAAGCTCACTATTTCTACTGCCAACTACTTAAGTCAAGCAGTTCCACCAGGATATTTTCTTTCCATGGAAAGAAAATCCACTATAAAGTCCTAGTGAGGCATAGATGAAAAGACAACTAGAGAGATGGTTCTCAACTAGGATGAATTTACTTTGCAATATAATCTAATTGTCTGTTATTTTAGCCATTTCATGAGGTTTGGAGAAAAGAATTCCTTGTTTCCACCACCAGCTTCCTTTTTTTCCTTTTTTCATCTCCTCAGAGGACAATTAGCTCACAGCTGCGTAACTCAGGAACGTATTTTCATCATCCCTTTGAACTGCCTGTTGTGAGCTTGGGCTCTCACAGAAGCACTACAGGATTATTTGATACTAATAAATGCATTTGTCCCTACACCCAGAATTAATGGGTACAAGGACTGATAAACTCTGTTCCCATTACAAAGCGATTTATTCAGTCAAGGGACAAATAAGCACAAGAATAATGGTCAGAACATACGGAATCACCAAAGCACAGATGACTAAAGTCAAAGGCAAACCCCCCACGGACTCACAAAGGCTCACTATGATGCAGTTTGATGAACTTCTCGAGACAGGGGATAGGTAAAAGGTAACTTACAGCTCAGTCACATCCTTGGGAATCCCCTTGGGCAGCATCCGCAGCCCTTTGTTGCTGCAGCGAACCACGGAGTCCACACAGGTACACTGGGAAGGACAAGGAGGGGAAAGCAAGCAGCTGCTCTCATCATTACCTGCACAGGGAGAGAGGCAGAGTGTGAGGACATCAGCATTCCAGCTCAAGGCACCCACTCTGAAGATAACTGGTGACAAGGACCAGGGAGGGGTACCCTGAATCCAGGGTTACCATCGCAGCATTTTAAACTCGATCCAATGCTTTTATCACCCTGCCTTCATGCAAGCTCTTTAGGCAACATGAAAAGTTTAAAAACTGAATAAAAATATTTTAATTATTTTTTTCCTAAGGAGCATCTACTTTGTAATTCTGCAAATTATAATACAATCCCAAATCCTCCCCCCACCCGTAATATGCCAGCTGAAATGGAGAACTCAACCAGCATGTTGCCCTTAAATTTATCTAGACAGATGATATTCACGATCTACTCTCCTTTTGGGAGACTTTTTTAAAATCCAGCTTCTGGATGTTTATTTTTTACTTTTCAAAGTCAGCCTGGCACTTTGTTTATGATCTGAATAGTAAAGCCTCATTGTTTTTAACAACGATAACCAGGCAAACAACAAACTGAAGCAGCACACTTCCAACGGCTGGCAATCCATCTGTGCACACATAAAAACATCAACTTTCTCCAAAAATGGTTTCAAAGATCCATAAACAGAAGATTAAATCTTGTAATTGAAGAACAATAGGGTTTCTGCAGTAGAAACCAACGCTTTGAAGCTAGGAACATTAAAGCATGGATTTTCCCCAAAAGCAACAGGCTTTGCAAAACATAAGGCACATGCCTGCAGCAGGATCACGATGTATGTGAAAGGAAACACTTAGTGGCACATTCCCGGGATGACAGGGAGGGGAAGCGCACAACTGTGTGTGAGCACGGGCGGCCGAGCTGCCCGCACGGAGACCCGAGCTCCAGCCTGCCGTCAGTATGTGCCGACTGCTCCTGCCTTTTAACTGATGCAACGACTAATTGAGACAGATCTGGTTCTTTCTTCTCTCTGCTGGAGGCACCCATGAGCACTGAGATGAAAGAAAAAGACTGGAAGTCCTGGTACAAGATAACAGAACTACCCCTGACTGTATGGGTACGAATCATTTGCATTCAGAAGGCTGGGGAGGCACCACCAGACTACAGAACAGATTTTTTTTTTTTCTTTTCTTTCCCACTGAGTTTAATGACTGGAAACAAAATTCAAAGTCCTTCATAAACCTGCAGAAAGAGCATGTTTTTTCAGCATATTTCATTTTCCCTTGTGTTCTGTGTTTCACACCCTGCCACTACTTTCCATTTGCCTCAAGTCCAAGTTACTGCCTGACAGAGAAAGCTCCCAACTGTGGAATGACATTTTGTGCACCAGGATTCTTCTTTTCTCCCAAGAGTGGAATGTCAATCTATGGACCACGATTTTGGTTGGTTTTGGGGCTTTTTTCTCTCAAATTAAAAGTGAATTATTATTTTATGACTAAACTTGGGTCTCTTGAGCTCTGAGCTTAGGAACCTGGGCCTGTTGCCAGATTGCTTGACTAGGACAAGAATTAATTTTTACTCTAAATAGGGAACTTCTATCACTCCTATTGTCTCTTTAGAGGTATGACTAACTGGACCTCCAGCCTATCTGGTCTTAACAAGCTGCAAGTCAAGTTAGCAGGGCATTCACCAAGCCATTTTCTCCTTACTAGTTTCTCTAAAGTCTGCTTGATCAGAAGACAAGAACTACCTGGAGAATGAAAGAAATGTCAGGGTATTTTCTTTTAAACCCACATAGACCCGTCAAAGCACGAAGCAACACTGAGTCATTTCAAATAATGTCTAAGTCTTTTTTTTATTTCCCTGTATTCACCTTTTACTGGTGACCCTGAACAGTATCCAAACCTAAAAGACCTTCCAAGCAAGCGTGACTCCCACTGGTTTCAGAGTATTAACTAAGAGTAAGGAAGGACCAGGATAACACCAGGATTAGACAAAGCAGAGCATTTGTCTACAATAAATTAATTCTAATATTTAGGTGTAGATAGCAGAAATTCAGAAAATGGAAATCAAGAATAAAAATATGTCACTGGTAAAGAACAACGATCTTCAGCTCTAGCTGTCTGCCTTCTCCATCACTGAACCAAAATGTTTACTCTGCAGCACTGCTTGGAAGGGAGGGACCTTCTCACAGAGGTGCCAATATTACTACAAGTGCCAAATCTAATTAGATTTTCTTACCATCACAGGTGAAATCCTGGACATCTACATCTTGGATTGGAATATCCTTTAAGAAAAACGGTTTCAAGCAACGTGGATTTCCACTGACAATTCTCTTCTTCCTCAGCCATTTCCCCAGCCAGGCCAAATGGCAGTTACAATTAAAGGAGTTAGCCAGCAAATTACTGAAAGGGAACAAAACATGATTCCATTACACATGAACATACAGAAATACTGAAATAACTACAGAAAGATGAATGGCTCCAAGTCCAGGCTCTTTCCTGTGTTCTGTTCCTGTGAGAAGCCTCCTCCATCCTGCAGATCTGGGAGGTTCTATGCAGGTTTTATATTAGGGCTGGGATTGTAATTAAAATATATATAGCTATGCATATATAGACATATGTTTATAAACCAAAGTGCTTAAAATTATTATTTAAACACACTTACATCACTACCAGGGCTGGATTTATTGTGGAATTCAACCCAAGCTGCAGCTCACACCCAAGTCTAAATTCACCTCATAAACTGCACCCATGTGTGCATGATCTTCAACATGATCCTGTACCTGCCCCAGCACTCTCATGGGCTCTCCCCTTTGCCTCTGTCCCAGCCCACACAAACCAGAGCCAGGAGGGAGCCACTGGCAAGCTGAATTTGGGGCTCCTATTGAAACAGCAAGGATAGTCCTATGTATGTATGTATGTACATATATATAGCAGAAATGTCATCTTGAGCCACTTAGGGAGTTTTCTCAGGTCTGGATATCTGTAGTGAAAAGCATCTGCTCTGCTGCCTTGTGAACTTTGTGGGGTCTGCTTCAAATCTAGCTCCACCTCCTGAAATATCTTCCATCAGAGCTGCAGCCTAGGCATGGTGCTGTGGTGTGCAGTCCCCAAAGCAACCATCTGACACTTCCACGAGAGGGATGGAGCCTTACACAGCCTGGCTTAGCAGCTCCTTCCTAACTAAACTTCAGATGAAGGAAAGAGGCTGAGATCCCTGGTAAAAAGAGAGAGCTGACTATGCTATGAACAGAGACAGGGACAATCAACAGCCTCAGCCTGAGGTTGCCTCACAGAAGAAGAATGAGCTGTCAGGGCCTGTGTATGGAAAATAAAGTATCTAAACTAATATTGATGGCATTTTCACATTATGTATGAATGTGTTCAAGAGTTAATATTTTGGTAGCACAGAAAGAAAGATGATAATGAAATTTCTTTAAATCATAGCATATATTTTAAGACAAGAAATTTGAAGGCAAGGAACAGGCACTTCAAGTGCAGGTGTAGTAGCTGAAGTAGCTTGTAAGTCTTCACTTGCAAGATGCTTTCACAAACTTAAACATGCAGCCAAAATCACATTAGGACTTCAGCCAAGCAATCCCTTCAGAAAACAATAGTACTGAAGACAAAAGCATGTGGCACAATTGAGGTGGGGCAGTTAGAAAGCAACTCCTAAATTCTGTAGGTTCTAGGCCAACATCACATAGCCACAATATGATTTACAGCTGCTCTCAGCACTGCAGCACAGCCCACTTCAATCACGGCTCTGCCCTGGAGCTCTGGGGTTAATCCCATGTGGATTTAACACAGGCTTTGGACATTGTGGAGAACAGAGAACTGGGGGGAGCAGAAAACTCAGCACAATTTTACAAAAATACTCCACCTGCTTCCCACGAAGATACAAATCTGCAGGAAGGTGAGAAAACCAACAGGTTACACAAGAGCTTTCAGACAGAAGGTGCAAAAAAGCACTGAAAGCAATACTCTAATTCTAGCTGCTTTCCTTCTGAATTGTTTTCCATTTTCTTTAATCCATAATGGGACCACATGCAGGATGCTTTGTATATTTTCCACACTGATACACTGGTATGAGCAGAGTGCCTAAACCAAATGTCTAAACCGCTGACACTGAGGGAGCCAGTGCTTCAAAGGCCATTTGTTCCACTGATGGAAGACAGTGAGATCATATTCACAGAGCTACTTCCACAACACAAATCCTCAGAATTAAATACTCTACAACTGGAAACAAACAGCAGGTGTGTATAATCAGGTTTCTGGAAAAGCAGCAGCTCTGAGAGTAAAGGACATTTTGCACATCTAGAGAGCATCTTATGAAGACATATCAAAAACTTTCATGAACATTCAATCTACAAAACACTCCACATCAAAAAACAGTAATTATCCCTGTCTAGAGAGAAGAGATTGTTTTGACTTAACATGCTACTGCTCACTAGCTGAGCAGCAGTAACTATCCAAAGAGCCTCCTTTTCTTTGTGGCAAACGTAGGTTAACATATAATGTGAAATTTTTGAATTCTTTAGTTCAGAAGTTGGATTATGCTTTTTCTTAGGAAGTAAGAAAGAAAGA